TTGCGCAATGGGCTGCCGCGTTTCGCCCACGAAACACGCAGTCAATTCACTTTGCGGTGTATTCTGGCAATGGCAAGCTGATGCTAACTTGATTAGCGTTTTGTGTTTAATAAGGAAATATTAATAGGATATACTGTATTCGCTCTGTTTTTAAACCAGTTAGGTGTCGGCACATTTATGTTTCTTAGAAATAACTAGACATTTGCAGTCTATGGACCTGTGGGGCATTGTGAACATGTGAAGAGGCTTCCTACAGTGACATCTCCACGTGAGCTGCTACAGGCAATCCACTGCACAGAACTGTGAGCAACAGCTCTCAGTCTAATCCCAGACACCAGGGATTGTCTGTCTGCCAACGGTGACTTTCTTGCATCCAAGCGGAGAAAGCTACAGAGTGTAGGAGTAACCGGATACTTGACCCACTTAGATAGCATTGATCTTTCCCGTTGAAAAATGGCCATTTATTTCTGGCGGGCCGAAAAATTGCTTCATCATCTGCGGCGAAATGTCGTTGTGCGACTGGAATGAACGTAGCACAGCCCAGTGCCCCCCGGATCAAATTGTCACAGAGAGGTGGATACTGAGGCTGGCTACGCAGTGACTTGCAGTGATGGTGTTGTTGCGTTTAGATGCCTATTTTCAAGCCGTTCTCTCCCCACTCACCATCCTCCGATTCGTTCACCAACCCGTCCAGCTCGGCTTAAACCCCCCCCCACCCCCCCACCGTTGACCGCACTTTCGCTCATTTTTTTCTCCCTCCTCGCCCTCTTCAGCTCCCCACCCTCTTCAGCAGTCTCCCTGAAGTGAAAGGCGTTATATAACTGCAAATTTGATTGTATTGTTTGATTTTGTGATAATAGTAATAACAATCCGTGCGTTTGATATAGCGCCTTATCACGTCTTCGAGACGTCTCAAAGCGCTTCCCAGGATATACTGCAAAGTGAATTGACTATGTTTTGTGGCTGAAAAGCGGCAGCCAATTGCACACAGCAGCGTCCCCACAAACAGTCGTGGATTGAGTGACCGAGATTTTTTGTTGTTTTTTTTAGGAATTATTTTGTTCTCATTGACTCGTTCCTTCCCCTCCGTGCCCTGCCCTCCTCCGATGGCAGTATTGCCGTTGGCTAGAAGGAGGAGGAGTTGGTTTCTGTCTCCGTCTACTCCCTCTTCTCCTCGCTTGTTCCCTCCCCGCAATGATATTAATAATAATAATAATAACAACAATAATAATTTGCCTCTCACAGAACAAACCTGAAGCTATAAACATTTTTTCTCACATGAGGGAAAGGTTCTTGTCATCATGACTCTATTGGTAAAGGCCATCAATCCACACACCAAATAAAAGTTATCAGTGTCTGTTCGATCTCAAGTGAGAACCTTCTGATTAAAGGTTGAACATGTGAAATGTCCCCAGGCTCAAACCACCACAAAGCGAGTGGGTGTGTGTGTGTGTGTGTGTGTTCCCCAGACTCTAACATTTACCCCATAAATACAGGAGCATCATTACAAAGCGCCTCACAACAAATAATTGCTTAGAAGTGAGAGTCAATCGCATACAATGAGACGTGCTTGGCTTGCTCACCGCATTATCTTTAGCTAGAATGAGGGGGCAAGCAGTTTAGTCTGCGGACACTTCCTCTTTGATGCTGAATCTTGGTCAAGCCGGAGGGAGGGAAGGGAAGGAAAGCTTTCAAAATGTGGGAGAGGAGTTTAAGGTCATTTTCTTGACTCTTCGCCCCCCCCCAACTCCCCCGTTCTCCTCCCCATAGATCCAGAATTAGTTGGTTGAAATAAGCTGTCTCGAGTGAGAGCCAAGTGTATTCTCCATCTAGACGTCAAGTTTGCAGGGTTGTGGGGAGAGAGCGGGGGAGTGGGATTGAATTGGATAGCTCTTTTCAAAGAGCCAGTACAGACACGATGGACCAAATGGCCTCCTTCTGTGCTGTATAATTCTATGATTCTATGATAGATTGCCTCGTGCTTCTGTACGGTCACTTACTACAAAGCTGAGCCAACAATTACACACTGAGGGAAATATCTGCAATGTTTCTGAACGAAACAGTCCAGATTGTGCAGGTACTGTGGTAGGTTAAAAACTAAAATTCCTATCAAATATTTAACTCCTGGCGCTCTGGGGTTTGTTTCATCTTTGAAAATTCTCGTGAAGTGAAGTGTGGTTCCCGGTCAATCAACAACAACGACAGCAAGAAAATTACATTTGCAAAGCGCCTTTCACATCTGGACAAAACATGAATCATCCTACCATTTGGTGTATAGTAGCTCCTTTCAAGGCAGACACACATTGATGAAAACAAAGACATTAGGGTGTGTGTAGGATACTTCTGATATTGTATTGAACCATTTGAAACCACATATGTTATCCGTAAGCTGCTCAAATCAGCTTCTTGCTCTTTGTTGAAATTACGAAAAGGTTTAGGTGGTTTACCGTTCAATAATTCCTTTAACAATTAAAAAAAGACCTTGCCTTCGATGTAGCTCCTTTCACTTAGGGAAGGCATTTCGAAACGCTTCACAGGATATACTGTAAAGTACAGTGACTGCCTATTTCGTAGCAGCCAATTTGCACGCAGCGATGTCCCACAAACAGCCTTGAAGTGAATGGTGAATTTTATCCGGGTGGGGGGAGAGTTGGGCAGGAAACCGCCTTCTCTTTTTTTCAATAGTCCACCTGAGCAAGTAGAAGGAACCTGAGTTTGGGATGTCCTCCCGATGTGAAAGGCGCTATACAAACGTAATTTTGTCGTTAATTAATGTTGTTGTTAACCTCAGTTGAGCTATGTTACTGGGGGAAAAAAATATTTGGGGATTCCTGCCATGGATTTCCATGTGGGTTCCATATGGAAATTAATTTCTCTTAAGGTTGGATGCAAATAATTTATAACTGTCAATCCTACATAGCCCTGTGTTGACAGAAGCCTGACTGCTGAGAGTGACTGTGGATACATTTTGCAAACAAAGACTACCCCAGAGAACGGAAGCATTTCCCTGCTTAACCCTAACGGGTAGATTGGTACTAGCTGAACAAGTAGCTCATTCAGACAGCGCTTTAAGTAAGCTGTGTGGGTTTAACTGGTTAAACCCCAACGCACACTCTAGGCTAATGTCAAACTGCGCCTAATACTCTCTGGAACACGATTCCTGGGTGAAAGTGGAGGCCAGTTTGCAAACAGCAATGTCCTCAATACAGCCATGATGTGAATGAGCAATTTTATTGGAGGGATTGTTGGCCAGAATACCAGGAGAAAGTCTACGTCCGGAATTTCCACCTGTAGGTGGGATGCACGGAACTCTGTTTGGTTTGGTTACTCTTAAGCGTGGTGATTGGGTTTCTACATGTGTCAGACACCCGGCCGACCCCAAAAAACTCAAAATAGTGGGATCTTTAATGTCCACTTGAACAGGCAGACGGGATCTTGGCTTAAGGTCTCATCTTATCTCAAGGATGTACCTCCAATACTAGAGCACTCTCCCAGCACTGCATTGGAGTGCGATCTTAGACTATGTGAGTTCAAAGCCCCGACATGGGGCTTGAACCCATAACCTTACGACTTGGAGGCGAGAAGGTTTTAAAGGCAAAGAGAGCAAAGAGAGCAGAGGCAACGCAAATCGATTTAGGAAGAGAGTTCCGAAGGATAGGGACACATGGTGGCTGAGGGTTTGGTCGAGCTGACAGTGAGTTGGAAGAGGTGCAGAGTGGACAGTAGAGCTCTCTACCCGCTCTCTGGAACTCTGACTCCCTCCCACCCTCCCTCCCCACATTGAAAGTCCACCAAGGCATACCTCTTTGATCGCACCCTTGCTTATCTTTCCCCTCCACCTCCCTCTTCAGCTCCCATCTTACCAACACCAGCCGATGGCAAGACAGCAGCGTGAAGCTCTTTGAGCCGTCTTCCCGACATAAAACTGTATTGTAAAGAGCAGAGCCGGAAGAAGGAAGGGTACAGGCGAGAGAATTGAAGGCAGGGAGAGATGACGTTGGTGGGAAGAAGGCGAGGAAATTGAAGCGGAGGAGGGGAGGGGAAATTGAAAGAGATCCGAGAGGGAGTTATTCGGCGTTGGATAATCTTGCTCAAGACTATGAGCAATGACTATCGAGTGTTCGGAGTCGACACCCTGTTTGAGGAGACCTATATAAATGCAAGTTGCTGTCAAGCCATCGTTGCTCGTTTTGTTTTTTAACGTGTTGCGTCCAGCCGTTACGTATTTTTAATGGAATTACTCGAGTAATTATGTGGAAATCATCAGACTTCTTGGGTAATTGGTTTTGACAGCCCTTACAAAGTTCTGGCTGCCTCGTAAAATTTGTTGCGTGACCGCTGGGCTTACTGAAATGATAGTGCCGTGATGTTGAGGAAAGCTATCGGTGACCAGAAAGCCGCCAGTTCCTCTCTGAATCAATTGTGGCAGTTTTTCCTTGGCATTACAATAATAATAATAATCCTTGCATTTGATATAGCGCCTTATCAAGTCTTCGAGGCGTCTCAAAGCGCTTCACAGAATACACTGTAAAGTGAATTGACTGCATATTTTGCGGGCGAAACGCAGCAGCCAATTGCGCACAGCAGCGTCCCACGAACAGTCGTGGATTGAGTGACCGAGTTATTATTATTATTATTATTGATTCATAATTATTATTCAAGATCACACTGAATTGTGGAAAATTTTTAAATTCCTTAGCCATTTTTGTAGAAACTGTGGAAAAGCAGCTTCCAAACCAAGACCGAATCAAAGACTATTCCACCTTTCCACTTTCAAGACCATGGTTTCACGAGGTGGGATTTCAGGCCTCATATTTTAAAGGCCAGAGAGTAGATTAAGATTTTTAAGGGTGTGTGACTCCTTTAAACCACTCCCAGTTCCCCTCCATGGCGGAGTGGAGAATCGCTGTTCGGGCAGCTGGTGCGATGGAGAGGTAACAGGTCTCAGAGGCCTCCATGATGACTTCACTAAAGCCACTTTTGTTTTGCTTGTTTAACAGGGGACATCACACAGAAAGGATACGAAAAGAAGAAGTCAAAACTGCTCGGAGCTTACCTACCACAACCTCCAGGTATGTCGAGCTAGCTGCCTGCCTGCCTGCCTGTTGTCTGTCTGATAGTATGTTTGGAGTCCTGTAGCTCAGTGGTTAGAGCACTCACCTCGCAAGCGAGAGACCTGGGTTTGATTCCTGGCAGCGTGAAATGTTGGGCAAGTTTCCTTGCTCCACACGCCTCTGTTCACTGTTCATCTAGCGGTAAGTAAGAACCCAGTTGTTAGTCGATTGGCAGATCGCTTTTCCGGGGGGGTTAATAGTTCCTTCAAAAATTAAAAAATAATAAATAAATTGGTCACTTCAATCCACGACTGTTTGTGGGACGCTGCTGTGCGCAATTGACTGCCAAGTTTCGCCCACAAACTATCCAGTCAATTCACTGTACAGTATATCCCGTGAAGCGCTTTGAGACGTCTCGAAGACGGGATAAGGTGCTACATCACATGCAAGGATTATTAGTATTATTGTCTCAAAGAGCTTCACAGAATACGTTGTCAAGTGGATTGACTGTGTATTTTGTGGGCGAAACGCGGGAGCCAATTGTGCACAGTCATGTCTCGCAAACAGTCATGGATTCAGTGACCAAATTGACATGTTGGCACTGTACACTCACCTTCGGGCTTTGAACTCACATAGTCTAGACTCGCTCTTTAATGCAGTCCTGGTGTTGCATGGTTGGAGATGGTATCCTGAGGATGAAATATTAAACCAAGGTCCCACCCGTGTCTGTTCAGGTGGAAGGTGAAGATCCCGTGACACTATTCAGAAAGAGAAGGGAATTTCTCTCTCATTGTGTTCCTGGCCATCAGTTCCCCCAGATAAAATTGGTCATTTACCTCATGGTTGTCCGTGGGACATTGCTCCGTGGAAATTGGCCATCTTGTCCACCTATAAAATAGCCACTACACTTGTATGCAGCACATCCAGAGAAGTGTTTTCAGACGTCCTCCTAATATGAAAAGCGCTGTACCAAAATGGATTATTATTAAAAGCTGAGAATGTTGAATGGTGAAGTTCCAGTTTATCTAATATCTAAACACTGTACTTGTTTGGTTGGAGACAAAGTCATCAACATTTCATTCGGGAGGATTAAATTTCTGTAAACAATTTCAAGCTTGTCTGGGTGAGGTGACATGTGGGATCACCCAATAATTTGTAGACTTTTTAATCAAAATTCTTCCATTAGCTCCCCGTTAGCTCAGAGAACTGTTTGTTCTTTCTGATACCTGATCGTTGAGTTCTGGGCTGTCTTTTACAATGCAATACAAAATTACGTTCACGTAGAGCCTTGCGCAAAATCATTTAATCTTTTAAATGAAAATGTTGTCACTTCAATCCACGACTGTTTGTGGGACGCCTCTGTGCGCAATTGGCTGCCGCGTTTCGCCCACAAAATATACGGTCAAATTCACTTTGCAGTATGTTCTGTGAAGCGCTTTGAGACGTCTCAAAGACGTGATCAGGCGCTGTATCAAATGCGAGGATAATTATAGAGTATTATTCACTCCGGGAGGATGTCCGAGGATGTCAGCTTAACCATCCTGGCACATGAGCTGGTGTTGAAAGCCGAGGGGGCCTGGGGAGAGCTTTTACCGGTTTCATAGTATTCCCTTTAGATTTTTTGCAAGTTTTTAAACTTTTAAAGGGGGACAATCTATTTCGACGGCTGCTGTTGGAGGTTCACACTAGTCTCTGAAGCAACGATGGCGCAGAGACCCTTTATCCGCTGTGGGGAACAGACCCACAAACAATGTCTTCAGTGAACATGCTGACCTTTGCTCTTTGGGCTTGAGTTAGCTAACTCTGATGGGCAGAAGCAAAGAGCAAGATCAGCAATCTGGGCACAAAATGTAAGCATTGAATTAGGCAATTCATCATTCTGCGTTTAAAGGCAAGTTTGGAGATACGTTATCTCTCAGTTTGGGTTTCAGTTTAGCTTGCCCTGTGAATGCGCAAAACACAGTCACTGCACTTTAGAGTATATCCGATGAAGCGCTTTGGGACGTCCTCCCGGCTTGAAAGGCGCTCTACCAAATGTAAAGGTTATTATCAGTGTCAGCCTGGTTCAGTGTCACTGTCGCCTCTGAGTCAGAAGGTTGTGGGTTCACGCCCCATGTTGGCTGGACTGTAGATGTTGGCTCTCGTTCCTTTGGATGAGACATTAAACTGAGGCCCTGTCTGCCTGCTCACGTGGACATTAAAGATCCCTTGGCCTTATTCGAAGAGAGAAGGGAGTTTCTCCCGGTTTCCTGGTCAACAATCCCCCGAATAAAATTGGTCACTCGCTCCATGGCTATTTGTGGGACACTGCTGTGCGTAATTGGCTGCCGCGTTTCGCCCACAAGATACACAGTCAAAACCACTTTACCGTATTTCCTGTGAAGGATTTTGAGACGTCTCAGCGATGTGATAAAGCACTATATCAAAGGCAGGGATTATTATCATTTTTTACGACAGGAATTTCCCAGCGGATAGATGGAATTCCGGAACACTACGGTTTTTGTTTAGCGCCCCTCGTGGGTGAATGGGAAACGTTCCTCAGGACATGACGGGCAGTTAAAGGGTTAACAAAGTTCGAGAGACGCGCCGAAAAATAAACCAAAGGATGTTGAACCAAACGACCCTCGAGCCCAAAGGAATCTTCCGTTCCAACAGCAATAAACCTTTATTGTACTTCGCCGAGTGCGAGGCTCTGGATCGCCCGAAATATTTGTGCGCAGAGAAAGTTAATTGTTTAAAGGGAGAAAAGCTAATAAACCAAGTTTATATTTACAGTGGTTTGGGGGGGAGGGAGGGTGCGGGGGGGCAGAATTCACCCTTCATTGGTAAATGGCAGAAATTCACCCTGAATTTGTAAAGGGGGAATTTACCCCATACTGCTTAGAGCGGAAATTCCCTCTTAATTTCTATAGGGGAAATTTCTTCCGAATCTTCCGAGAGGAATTAACCCTTCATCTTTACAGGGGTCAGACAGCACAGTGCGCAGGGAACAGGATAGCGCAAATCACAGGGTGTTTTGCCATTGAGTTCACCCGAGGTTCATGTTAGGTGTTACTGGAGACAGAACAACAAATGTCGACTGGATATTTTCCCACAGAGAGCACAATCTGGACTGCTCTTACATCCTAGTGGGATGGGTAGAGAAAATGGTCCTTGCATTTGGACGTAGTGCCTTATACCCCTGGAACTCCCGGCCTTAATCCTCCCGCCTTGTCCCCTTTTTGGCCATCTTCAGATCACACCTTGAAAGATCTTATAAGAACATAAGAACTTGCTCGGCGAAAGAAGACCAAGGTCCATCTAGTTCGCTTTTCACCATCCTGGCAGTCGCTTGATATGTCGTGTCCCAAACTGTACACTGTTTCCCGAGGGAGCCTGTTCCATACGTTTACTATCTTCCTCTTCAACCGTGCCTATGGTCCAACCTCCACAAGCTGCAGCTCATTCAGAACTCTGCCGCTCGTGTCCTCTCCTGCACCAGGCTCTGTGACCTTATCACCTCCACCCTCGCCCGGCTCCAATGGCTCCCCATTTCCCAGAGGATAGAGTTCAAAATCCTCGCCTTCAAAGCCCTCCACAGCCTTGTCCCTCCCTACTTCTATGACCTTCTAATTCCATAAAGACCTGTCCCCTCCCCACGCTCAGCGAGCTCCGGCCTGCTACATGTCCCTCGACCATCAGTGATCGGGCCTTCAACCTCTCTGCCCCCATCCTTTGGAACTCCATCCCACAGTCCCTTCGCCTCACTCCCTCTCTTGCCTCCTTCAAGGTCCATCTCAAGACCCTCCTCTTCGATTACACCTTCAGTCACCCTCCTACCCTCACCCTCCCTGCCCTCCGCCCCTCCTAATCCCAACCCCCAGCTCGGGTCCAAAATGCCTGACTGTCGACTGCTTGGCACATCCTCCCGACGTGAAATGCTGTAGAAATGTAATTTGTTGTTATGGTCACCTCCTCTTTCTCCCTGGCTCGGCGTTAGAACTCTGCCAATATTAAGCTTTCCGAGATGCTATCCTACGTGAAGGGCACCGTATAAAATCAAGGGTAAAAAGTTCATTTACCTTGCACGTTAACTAATTGCAAGGTAAGATTTAGTGTTTCAAGAGCTCTGAGACCCTGCTCTGCGTGGAAGGCGCTATATTAGTTGTTGTTGTTGTTGTTGTTGTGTCAGTAGGGTAAGAGTTAATGTCTGGAGAAGAAAATCAACTGAACAGCAGATAGGTTGAGTAGATTGTAGTTGAGAGCTTTGATCGGAATTGGTATTTCTGTGAAAGTGCAAGCATGCTTTGTTGACAGATTCAAATCTTTTTAAGAAGCATTGTGGTCGGAGCCGTAGCTGACAAATATAGAATGGAATTATTATGCACTCTGTGTCAGAGGAACAAAACAGATTAATGTTCTGCTTGATACAAGCGGGTCTGCTATCTCCTTTTCTTTTATTCAGGGATCAATACCTTCCTGACATTTCAAAGAAAAGGCCTGGGAGAGCAATTACTTGAGTTGAGTGAAATACATAAAACAAATCCGAAGGGTTTCAGTAAAGACATCCAGGTCTTTATTGTGCCTCTCTGTTGACTTTTTCTCAGACGTAAAGTGCAACGTTAACCGACCATGGCCTGCAACATTGGATGTTGCATTGTATTAAAAAAAATGTGATAAATCCAATTGACTTATGAGGCAACCCCTTTCAGATCTCTGAAGGGTATTTGTGATTTTATTTTCTCCCCAAATGTGGAGAGTCTAGAGAAGCTGGGATTGTTCTCCTTGGAGCAGAGAAGGTTATGGGGAGATTTAATAGAGGTGCTCAAAATTATGAGGAGTTTCAGATAGAGCAGATAGTGAGAAACTGTTTCCTCTGGCGGATTTGGTCGGTAACCAGAGGACATAGATTTCAGATAATTGGCAAAAGAACCAGAGGGGAGACGAGGAGACTTCTTTATTTTACGCAGCGAGTTGTTACAATCCGAATGCACTGCCTGAAAGGGTGGTGGAAGCAGATTCAATAATAACTTTCAAAAGGGAATTGGATAGATACGTGAGCAGAAACAAATTGCAAGGCTTATGGGGAAAGCGTGTGGGAGTGGGACTAATTGGATAGCTCTTTCAAAGAGCCAGAATGGGCACGATGGGCCGAATGGTCTCCTTCACCTTCTCCTATACAAAGTGAAATGGTTGTGGACACAGAAGTAGTCTCCGCTTTGCCTGAAAATCCTGACAAATTATCCCAGTTTTTCACTCGGGTCCTTCGCCGAGCCTTGAGCTACCAACTCCTAACCGCTGGAACTCCCTCCGTCTCGCCCTCCCCCATCCCCCTTTAAATTCCACCTAAAAACTTAGCTCTTCAACTGGGTTTACAGTCATCTCCTCCACCTCCCTCCGACTCTGTCCTTTGTGAAGCTCTCCAAGACGTTACCCTAGTGTGAATAATAATAATAATAATCCTTGCATTTCAAATAGCGCCTCATCACTTCGTTGAGACGTCCTCAGGCGCTTCACAGAATATACTGTCAAGTGAATTGACTGTATATTTTGTGGGCGAAACGCAGTAGGCAATTGCGCACAGCAGCGTCCCTCAAACAGTTGTTGGATTGAGTGACAAAATTATTATTTTGTATTTACAGGTACAATATTTATTCTTTGAAGGGATTATTACCCCGTAAAGCAAGCCACTAATTGACTAACAGCTTATTGTTAGGTAAACAAAGGCGTGTGGAGTAAAGAAACTTGCCTAAGGTTTCGCCCTGCCCCGGCCGGGAATCGAACCCGGGTCCTCTCCTGAAGGTTGCTGTAGAAGTTGCGAGCTGTTGTTAATTCCTGAAAAAGTGACTTGTAATGTCTCTCTCTGCCACAGGAGTGGAGCCCTCACTGCCACAAGAACGTCGCACTCCAGTTACGCCTTCATCATCCTCCAGATACCATCGGCGTCGGTCTTCAGGGTCACGCGATGAGCGTTACAGATCAGGTAACTCCTTAAACCCATTCCTCTACATGACTCCAACTCGCCCTTTGGAACGCTATCCCTGAATCCCTCTGCCTGGCCCCCTCTCGCCTCCTTCAAGGCCTATCTGAAGACCTTCCTCTTTGACTATACCTTTGGCCACACTTCCACCCCGTATTCCGCAACCCCTATCCCCCACCCCTCTTGATTTTACCCCCCCATCTTGGGTGCAAACCCTTCACTGTCCAGCGCCTTGGGATGTCCTTCCGACACGAAAGGCGCTATAGAAATATAATCTCTTGTTGTTGTTCTTTCGTTGTTCTGTGGTTTGGCTTTGCCACCTGCTTCCTCTCCTCAGCTATACTCTTGACGGTGGGTAACTGGTGTAGAATCAGCAGAACATTATGAAACAAAGGGAACTAATTCCCTGCAAACTCGCACCTCGTTCATGAAAAGGATGTAGATCACAAAACCAAGGGAACTGAGTAGAGGCACAGAGCAAATGGATAGGTTGGCTAGCCAAAGCACTGACTTGGCTGCTCAGGTGTTGCCTTCCCTGTAACCCACTCGATCTCTCACCCAAAGGGCTTCCTCTAACGTGTAAGCTTTCCAGGTACTCGGAAGCTGGGGCGGGGTGGGAGGATTAAATAAAAGAAGGGAATTGCGTCCGCTTAATAATAATAATAATAATAATAATCCTTGCATTTGATATAGCGCTTTTCACGTCTTCTAGACATCTCAAAGCGCTTCACAGAATATACTGTAAAGTGAATTGACTGTATATTTGTGGGCGAACGCGGCAGCCAATTGCGCACAGCAATGTCCCACAAACAGTCGTAGATTGAAAATGACCAATTTATTATTGTTTTTGGTTTTGGAGGGATTATTATTAGGCTCTGTGTGGAGTAAAGAAACTTGCCCAAGGTTTCGCCCTCTGCCTGGAATTGAACTCAGGTCTCTTGCTTGCAAAGCGAGTGCTCTAACCACTGAGCTACAGGACTCCAACTTAACACACTAAAAATTGCACACTGTTGGCTTCACCGTCAATTCTTGGTAAGACTGAAGAGACAATTTACTCCAAAAATATTGCTCAGTGATGCTCAAGTTAACTGCGAGCAAGAGAGACTTTGCTACTTGCATTTTGTTCAGTGGATTGTCAGTTCTGTCTCACCATTGGCATCTCTTGACCAGATCTAAAGGGATAAAAGAGAAGAGACGATGAAGGCTGAAGGCTCATGTGAAGTATAAGTACCGACATTGACTAGTTGGGCCGATTGCCCTGTTTCCATGCTGTAACATTGGATGTAGATACAATTCAAGGACAAAGAATCTGTCTGACAGTAGCCAGGAAATTGTGTGGTGTGTATTCCCGAGATAATAGAGGCAGATAAAATTGTTGTTGTGTGCAAATTGGCCTGCTGCTTTGCCTACAAATGCACAGTCACTACACTTAACAGTAAAATCCTGGGAAGCCTTTTGAGACATTTGACATTATTAATATAGGCTTGGATATTAATGTAGGCTTGGAATGGTTCCACATCACTGCAAACTCTTCCCAGGGTTACTGGGAACTCCTCTGCTCTCCCAGTGATATTCAGACCTCAGTCACGGGTCGTACCACATATATTATATATAACAATAATAATCCTTGCATTTGATATAGCGTCTTATCTTGTCTTTGAAACGTCTCAAAGTGCTTTGCGGATGATACCGTAAAGCGAATTGACTCTATTCATTAATTGTGGGAGAAACCTTAAGCTTCGAAAGCGAACTAGATAAATATCTAAAAAAGGATGCTGTGGGGAAAAGGGCAGGTAAATGGGACTTCACATGACTCTTAAAATCTGCCAGCACGGATAACATGGGCCGAATGGCCTGCTTCTGCGCTGTGAATTTTTATGGCTCCGCATTCTGCTACAAATCAGCGTGTGATTCCATAAGGGAGGTGACTCCTCGAAAGGCATCCGTTCACCCGTTTGTCTCCATGGCAACTGAATCCGATAGCGCAGACAGTTCACCTAGAATCTGAGTACACAGGTGCGGAGACGCATGATTTGGCTTTTACTGGGATAAATATCTGTGCGGTGTTGTCTTGTGAGCTTCCAGTCGTACCTTAAGACCCCCAATCAGCCAAATGTTAAGCCTCAACGCAAATTATTGATTGTGGTTTTTTTTTCTGTGGATGATTGGGATGAATACAAATGAGCGAAAAGCCTGCAAGAAACCTATTTTGATTTTCCTATTCGGCTCTCGGCTCATCGCGTACCCTCTATTGAATTTCCTCCGTTCAGTTTTTTGGAACTGTTCGGTTGGAAAGCAAAATCCCAATTATGTCTCGGCCAACTCCAGGAACTCCGGTCCATCCCGATCTACATTCAGAGCAGCATTTGCCGATTGCACATAACGCTGATCCCATTCCGGTTCCCGGAAAGAGTGTCCGATTGGATTCTTTATAATAATTATCATAATACTGATAACCCTTGCATTTGATATCGCGCCTTATCACGTCTTCGAGACGTCTCAACGCGCTTCACACAATGTACTGTAAAGTGAACCGACTGTATGTATTGTGGGCGAAACGCGGCAGCCAATTGCGCGCAGCAGCGTCCCACAGTCGTGGGTATAGTGACCAAATTTTTTTTTTAAGGGATTATCACCCCGAGAAAGCGATCCGCCAATTGACTTAACAAGCAGTAAACTGGACTAACTAGATAAACTGAGGCGTGTGGAGTAAGGAAACTTGCCTAAGGTTTCGCCCTGCTCGGGAATTGAACCCGGGTCCTTTCGCTTGCGAGGCGAGCGCTATAACCATTAAGCTACAGGACTCTGCAAGGGACTTTATGAAAGAATCCCATGAGAAATTGCTGCACATTTTCCAGTCACCCAGGATTCCTGTAGCGTTCAGTCTCTGGAAGCCTCTGGATAGCAGAAACTGCAGCTGGCACTGCTTGTCGGCCTCCCCAACTCCTCCCTCCACAGGCTGCAGATCCTCCATCCTCCAGAACTCTGCCGCCCGTGTCCTCTCCCGCACCAGGCTCCGTGACCCTATCACCCCCAACCTTGCCCAACTCCACTGGCTTCCCATCACACAGAGGATACAGTCCAAGATCCTGGTCCTCACCTTCAAGCCCTCCATGACCTTGCTCCTCCCTGCTTCTGTGAACTCCTAACCCCCTATCAACCTGTCCGCTCCCTCCACTCAGCGGGCTCCGGCCTGCTTCACGTCCCCCCGCCTCACCCGCTCCACCATTGACTGGCGGGCCTCTCTGCCCCCACCCGCTGGAAATTCGTCCCTCTGCCTCGGCCCCCCTCCCTTGCCTCCTTCAAGAACCGTCTCAAGACCCTCCTCTTCGGTGCAGATCCCTGATTGTCCAGCGCCTTGGGACATCCTCCTGATTTGAAAGGTGCTATACAAGTGTAATTTGTTGTTGGTGTTGAGGCCCCATTGATACGCCCCAGTCAGCAACTCCCATCGCGGGGGCCATTGGCCATTAATGCAGCAGGAAGTAAATCCCAGCTCCTTGATTGAAGGGGAGAACTGTTCAGTGATTCACCCATTTGTTTTGTTATCCGTCTATATACGTCCTTGATCACACACATTTATCATTCACAAGGAAATGTTTCCTCAAACGATTGACAGGCTCTCCACACCACAGGCTCCTACATTTTTTTTACAAGCCTGCTTAGCAGCCAAATGTACCCGTCTCTCCAAAGGTCCCGTCGTTCCTGGTGTTTCGTAAATTCATGATAACAATAATACCCTTTATATTTGATACTACGCTGATTACGTCAAATGTCTGAAAGCTTTCTGTAAAGTGCGGTGACTGTCTTATTTGTGGGCAAACGCGATGGCCAATGTCCCACAAACAAGCACGAAATGGATGACTAATTTTACATTAAGAAGAAAAAGAGTCCTTTCATTTGATATAGCGCCTTATCACGTCGTTGAGACGCCTCAAAGCGCTTCACAGAACATATACTGTGAAGTGAATTGACTATATTTTGTGGGCGAAATGCAGTCGACAATTGCGCGCGGCAGTGTCCCACAAACAGTTGCGGATTAAATGATCAAATTATTATTAGTTTTTTTTTTGGAAGGGTTTATCACCCCCAGAAAGTGATCGTCCAACCGACTAACAGTTGGGTTCTGACTTACTGCTGGATAAACAGAGGCGTGCGGAGTAAGGAAACTTACCCTGACCGTGAATCAAACCCCAATCCTCTCGCTTGCAAGTCGAGTGCTCTAACCACTCGACCACAGGACTCCACAATCTGGAGGATTTTTGGCCATAACACCGGGAGAAACTCCTTTCCCTTTTCAAATAGTGTTATGGCTCTTTAATATTTGTCCACTTGAAAGGGACATCAGTTTGACATTTCCATCAGTTGGATGGCAAAACAGCACTTCCTCAGATATCGAGCTCATGCTCCTGGTGTAGGATTTGAACCCACAATCTACTGATCCAGAATCGAGGGTGCTACCAACTGGACCTGATATTCTTTGCGAGATTTTGCCATGTCAAGCTTTGCTCCCACGTTTGCCTACAAAAACGGTGACCACACGTTTGATTAGTCTGTCAGCCAGGCTCAGTTGGTAGCACTCTCCAACCTCTGAGTCAGAAGGTTGTGGGTTAAAGCCCCAAGACAGGACTTGGAACTCTTATCGTCTAAGCTGACACTCCAATGCAGTGCTGGAGGAGTGCTGACATTGTTGGAGGTGCCGCCCTTCGGACAAGACCTTAAACCGAGGCCCAGTCTTCCTGTTCGAAAAGAAAAGGAAGTTTCTCCTGTTGTCTTGGCCAACAATCCCACAAATAAAATTGGTCACTGACCTCCATGGCCGTTTGTGGGATATTGCGGTGTGCGAATTGGCTGCTGCGTTCGCCCACAAAATACACAGTCACTACACTTTTACAGCTAATCCTGTGACGTATCGGCGATGTGATAAGGTGCTGTATCAAATGCAAGGATTATTATTATTACAGTATAACCTGCGAAGCGCTTTGAGACATCTCGGTTGAGTGATAAGGCCTGCGATATCAAATGCAAGGATTATTATTAAGAGTCCGTAGGTTATAGGTCTGTCACAGCTGCTGGGTCCTGTCCTGCTGCTCACTGCCCGAGGAAGGATGGGGCATTGGGACACTGTCACGACACTGTCTCATGTCTTCGCTCTCAAAATAGCTCCCAAATTGCCGCATGTTTATTTGCAAATGCATCTACTTGATGAATGATAGCATGATTGCTTCACAGCATCTTCCAAAGAGAAAGTGCTGTCCCTTTATGTGTGCAATAATTAGGATTTGGGATTTACAAGCCGTCGGTACAATCATTCCGTTCTTATGGCAATTAGTGCTTTAAACAAGCTGTCGCAGTGCTAAGTAAATGTCAGTTTCCATTTGCCTTTCTCACGAGGGAGGAAAATATCTTAATGTATAATTCATCATCAAACACGTATTTTTTTAAAAATAAGAAAGAACAATGAAAAAATCTTCGGTTGACACAGAGGTCTGTGACCTATGATTTTCACTAATTGGCACTGAGGAAGGCAGGAATTTGCTTGATGAAATTGGCATCTATGACGATTGTAATCTTTTCAAGGTACTTTTAATGACATTCGGAGCAGAAATCTGATTTAAATTTTCTTTGCTGCTCATAATGCGTTTCTCCCCCCACCCCCCGTCAAAATTATATCTCTCGAAGATGTTACTTTTCCAATGATATGGCTTCAGAATGACCGAAAGTCAGCGTTGAGTAGAAGATGACAGATGTGCTCCAACAACAACAGCTTGCATTTATACACGTAGGGTAGTGTCTCAGAGCACTCGACAGTGGCGGAGTCTTGAATTTATAGTTAACTGGATAATATCTCGAGGCCATATGGAGCAGCCAGCATTAATGTGAAAAAAACAAGAGCTCATGCACATCAGGGTCTCTTTTCAAACGTACTCCTAATGACTTGGATGAGAAATGAGTTCAGGTTCCGACAGATAAACAGCCGATCAATAATTTACAAGTTAGAAGTTAATACCAGTCAAATTATAATTTGTAACACTGCATGCATTTGATACAGCGCCTTACCACGTCTTCGAGACGTCTCAAAGCGCTTCCCAGTATACACTGTAAAGTGAATTGACGGTCTATTTTGTGGGCGAAACGCGGCGCTCAGCGGCGTCCCGCAAACAGTCGCGGGTTGAGTGACCGAATTATTTTTGTTAAGGGATTATTATCCATTCATTATAAATGTCCATACTTGGGTGGTGCTGCCCACGAGGAACTCTCCACTTGTTTAGATAACCTTAAACACGGTAATGGGTATCTGCACGGGTCAGATATCTGGCCCATTCCCCCGCTCGCTCCCCTACGATTAGTTCCGGATTTAGTATGGGATGATTCTGCGAGTTGGTTTCTCTGCAATGTTGTCAACACGTGTCCTATTTCCTCTTCCCAGATGTACATACAGAGGCAGTGCAGGCCGCTCTCGCCAAACATAAAGAGAGGAAGATGGCAGTCCCCATGCCATCTAAACGACGTTCCCTGGTGGTACAGACCTCAATGGATGCCTACACACCTCCAGGTAAATTGAAGCAAGTAAATGCTATCTCAGGGTTATTGTGGGGTAAAACCTGGGTATAGATTTATTCTTTATCGACAGCATTTCAGAGCTTTTCTAGAACTTGGCAACTTGGCAAATACAGCCTTAATTTTGACGGCATATTTCTATAAGAGTTGCAAGAGAAAACGCTTTCGAAGTTGAGACACGATTTGCCAATCCTGGATGCTCTGAAACAATAATAATAATAATCCCTGCATTTGATACAGCGCCTTATGTCTTCAAGACGTCTCGAAATGCTTCACAGAATATACAGTAAAGAGAATTGACTGTATATTTTGTGGGTGAAACGCGGCAGCCAATAGCGCACAGCAGCGTCCCGCAAACACTTGAGGGTTGAGTAACCAATTTATTTATTATTATTTTTTTTAAGGAATTATTACCCCCGGAAAAGCAATCTGCCAATCGACTTAACAGCCAGGTTCCTACTTACTGCTGGGAAAACAGAGGCGTGTGGAGTAAGGAAACTTGCCCAACGTTTCGCCCTGCCCGGGAATCGAACCCAAGTCTCTCGCTTGAGAGGCGAGTGCTCTAACCACTGAGCTACAGGACTCCACATTAACGCTAGATTAATAGTGTAAATCCAGCCCAGGTAGAAGCTTAACCCATTGATGCCTATGTTTTTTTTAATGATATTCACAGACTAGATTCATTATGTTAACTGAACAAATCAAATGCAAATAGTTGGATCTCAATGAACCACAACCCTAACTGGATTGGATACTCTTAAACACAGTGATGGGTTTCGGCAAATGTCTGTGCTGTGAACGACTCTCCCGCAAATGTTGTGCGAACATTTTCAAAAAAAACAGTTTCGACAATGTTTGCAAGATCCCAATTCAAAATCACTCATTGCGAAATGTGGTGAATTTGTAATTTCTCTGGCCGGTTGTGATAACACACATTATTTCAGGCTGTCGGAGATAACTGGAGCTCGTGATTCTGTCTTAAATCCTTACCGTTTCCAAACGAGAGTGATCGAAACTCCTCAGAATAGGGAAAGTCACTGGAGACTTCCTACCTGCCGCATTGATATGAGCCTCTTTCCACCAGAATAACTCGCCTACAATTGAAAGAATTGGAAACCGGTTTCATTGCAAGACCTGAAAGGTTAACTTACATTAAATGCCAAAATGAAAATTGATTTCTGAATCTACTTGTTGCTGATATAACCACATGCTCTCCAGGAACGCATTCCTGCTTCGGAGAACCAGAAAACTCCAGATACTTCAGTGAAAATATTTCTGAAGCTTTCAGTTCTTTCTTTTCACTCTCATTTTCTCTCTCTCTCTCACACACACACACACACACACATTTTCCCACCACCGATTTTATGATGATATATTTTGCTTGTAGGAAGGTGCAGGGCCAGAAAGGAGCTCATCTTAAAGCTCAAATGTGCCAGCCTAGCTCAGTAGCTAGGGCTCTTGCCTCTGAATCAGTAGGCTTGTGGGTTCAAGCCCCACGTCAGGATTTGGGACTCATATAGCTTAAGCTGACGTTCCAAAGTGATACTGAGCGAGTGCTGGAGGCGCCGTGAATTCAATGAATTGTCAAACCGAGGTCCCGTCTGTCCTGTTCAGGTGGACGTTAAATATCCTGTGGCGCTATTCGAAAAGAGGATGGAGTTCCTCCCGAAGTCCTGGCCAACAATCCCCCGAATAAGATTGGTCATTGACTCCATGCTTGGCTGTGGGATATTGCTGTGTGCGAATTGTCTGATGCATTTGCCCACAAATCGGGCAGTCACTGCACTTTACAGAAAATCCTGACGTGAAAGGCGCTATACCAAAATATAAGGATTATTATTAAAATGGAGCAAGCTTTTCCGTATCTCTCAACCCCCCCTCCAAATGATTCCTCCACGGGGTATCTGCTCAATTTTGCATTGAATGTAACCCCCTCCACCCCATCCATCTCCACTGGACAGTTTGATCCATATACTTACAACTCTCTGTAATAAGATACCGACTCAAAATCGTCTGTATGGTATCCACCCGTCTCATCAGTGGAACTCTCTCCTTTGGATCAGAAGGTTTGTAGGTTTAAGATGCGAGTTGAGTTCAAACTTTACGCACATAATCTGGGCAGGTATTTCACTGCAGTGCTAGGAGATTGGTACTTTGTTGGCCACCCACCCTTTCATCTGTGCCACTCTTCAGATGAAATGTCCCCAATCTGCCTGTTCGGGTGGACATTAAAGATCGCGTGGTACTGTTCGAAGTTTCTCCTGGTGTCCTGGCCAACAGTCACCCAAATGAAATTGGTTATTTACTTCTTGGTTGTTTGTGGGACACCACTGTGTGCAAATTGTCTTTCAAATTTCTTTTAAATTGACACAGATCTTTGCTACGTACGTAGCCTCAGGCTTGTTCAGTCCCAAGTTAGCTCTTAATTTCTCTCTCTTAGTTTGAGAACATCACTAATAATAATAATAATCCTGGCATTTGGTATTGCGCCTTATTACGTTGTTGAGACGTCTGAAAGAGCTTCACAGAATATATTGTAAAGTGCATATATAAATCTAATATAAATACAATATAACGTTAAGTCTAATGTCCCAGAAACAACCAATTTTACCTGACCGAAATGAGACTGTTTTCACATTTTTTATTTTGAGTCCGTAAGCTTTCCTCCAGACCTATCTCAGCTGTAGTAAAGTAAATGTATAGTCATGCTTTTACTGATACTAGGGATGAAGCTTTCCAAGGCGCTACCTTGCGTGAAAGGTACAGTATAAATGTAACTTATCGTTGTATATTATTGTGGATATTTTTATTATTTAAGTTGTTGTTGTTCCGTTGCTGCTCTCTGTGCGAAACTAGAGATCGGGAGAGAGGATCTTCTGCTCGCAGAGCAAGCGTACACAGAACTCACTTTTGTCAAAAAGCAAGGAAATTTGCGGCTGAAAGCAGAGATAGCGGAAAAGAAAAGAATGTTTAAGCCAAAGGACAATGCTCCCCGTCGTACCTGGTGTCCAGTCTGCCCTCGTCGAGCCATTCTACAGGGATCTGAAGCGAGCTTTTCACCAGTACTTAACCATGAACCAGCACAACAACAACAAACTGCATTTAACACAGTGCCTTTCAAACCCTTCACTGTCCAGCACCTTGGGACGTCCTCTTGACGTGAAAAGCGTCACATAAATGCAATTTGTTCTTGTTGTTCTTGTTGTCATTAACCTAATCTGACGTGATGCACAATAAGGAGTTGTCTGCTATTCAGGCCACTGACTATAACTGACCTTCATAAATCAAGCCAGCTCACCTGTAGCATTGACGTATTGTCCCACAGTTCTTCAATGTAGAGCCACTACTTCAGGGCTGATTTGTTTCCACAGAGTGAGCCATGAAGACGGTTTAGTGGAGAGTTTAAAAAAATATCTTCTGGCTTACAAGGATAGCTTTGGATTGCAAATGAGATGCAAACTTGAAGGAATGGAAATCCATTTTCCTGCGACTGAGAGAAGAGAGAGTTGTGGCCCTGCCTCTTACAATAGATTTATCCCATTTAGTCACTGATACCCACCCCTCCCAAATGAATAAGCAATTGACGTGGGCAGATTTGAGGACTGAACCAGACAAGCATTCAGCGCAGTGTCAGGCTTTTGAGAGGACACGTGCTGCAGAGTTCTGGATGATCTGCAGTCTGTGGAGGGAGGAGTTGGGGAGTCCGACAAGCAGGGGGTTGCAGTAAAGTGGATCGACTGTATATTTTTGTGGGGTGAAACGCGGCAGCCAATTGCACACAGCAGAGTCCCACAAACAGTCATGAAGTGAGTGACCGCATTTTTTTTTCGAAGGGAATATTACTGCAGGAAAGCAATCCTCCGATCAACTGACGACCAGGTATTATTATTAAACAGCATTAAACGGTATCGTGTGGCAATTAATCCCCCGTTGTGAGCAGCTACCAACTTTTTAAAAAATCGTTCAATTCTTGCGTCAGCAACATTGGTAAAATATTTGAAGCTAATCTCTCCTCACCTCTGCACAGCCAGATGTGATGCTCCCAACTGCAAGAGGGTGGGATAACATTACTCCTGGCTCACTGCTGAATATAAATAACAATTGCAGCCCAGTGAGTGTCCAACTAAGACCACACTACTCATGAGGCTTTTGCCTCACAGATCAAGGACATATCTACACACTTAACCTCCACCCCCATATTGCAAGCTATAAACTGCTCAACAATCAACAGTGCTGTGGATCGGTGCAGCCTGGTTTTTTTTTGGCGAGTGGATCTCCGCAGACCTCCCTCCCTCCCTCCCCTCCACCACCCATGGAGAACCAGGAGAAAATATTGTTGTTATTTTCTGCGTGTCACAGTTATAGCGGGCCCATTGGGATTGGATGTTAAGCCTGTTGCGGTTTGGACCCAAGTGTGAATTGTATTTCAGCCTCTGCATCGGCTCCAGTCTACGCTGAGACAGGATAGGACCACAAAAATAGGCGTTTGAAAGCCGTGCCTTAAGAATGCTCGAAAACACCCCCCCTTTTTTTTAAATCCCCCCCCCCCACTCCTCAATTTACGAACAACAGCAAATTGCATTTGCATAGCGCCTTTGACGTCGGGAGGACGTCCCAAGGCGCTGAACAAAATATAGCACGTACAGATCGTTCCTCAGGGAACCCGGTAAGTGGCCAACTTCAAGCAGAGTTTTGACTTTCCTCTGTTCTCAGCTTTGCCCACCCCCCAACTCCCCCACCCCCCCTACTGATGCCTTTCAATAAAAAGTGCAGGTTAAAACCCTCTCTGGCTTTGCCCGGTTCTGCGTCCCAGCTCGGTTACCCACTTGTGGCAACCTCTTCTTCCGTAGGTGAGAGAGATGTCGCCGGAAAGCAAAACACTGTGCTGGTTTTTTGAAGAAAACTCAAAATACTGAAATCCGAAAACAAAAGCAGAAGCCGCTCGGGAGGCTCGGCAGGGTCAGGCAGCATCTATGGAGAGAGGAAAGCGAGTCAACCTCTACCCCATTTTCTCCTTTGTCTCCCTTACCCTGCCTCCTCCCCCACCTTCCCCCCCCCCCCCCACCGCCCCCGCCTCTCTGTTAGCCCTCAATAGCCTCTCCCTCCCAACGTGCCCCAAGTCTCACTTTCCTCTCTCCGTAGATGCTGCCTAACCCGCTGAGTGCTCCCGACGAACTTCTGTTTTTGTTTGGTGTTTTTTTTTGTGGGGCGGGTTTTCTTGAAAGCCGGCCAGGCCTTTGAGCTATTTGACAAGGGGCAAGTGGGTAACCGTTTCTCATTTGCATTCTCCACCGCAGCGATTCCAAAACCCTCCTGGGCGAACGGATGAACCAAGAGGAACCCAAATGGAAGCAGGATGTTTCCCCCCTTTTCACCGTAAACACGGATGTTTTTAAGCAAAGAAGCCACAGCGAGCCTGACGCACTCGTTTGTTTTTCTTCTTCTTCTTCTTCTCCTTCTCCTGCTTCTTCTTCCAGATACCTCTTCTGGGTCAGAAGATGAGGGATCGGGCCAAGGCGATTCCCAGGGAACCCCTTCTTCCAGCCAGGGCAGCCTGAACATGGAACACTGGATCAGTCGGGCCATACACGGCTCAACCACCTCCTCCACCACCTCCTCCTCTTCCACGCGCAGCGGGGGGAGCAGTGCTGCTAACGCACTGGCCGACGTCATGACGCAGACCCACATTGGTTGGTACAATCTCTGGTGTTTCGCGCCTCGTTGGTTTGCTCGCCGTAGCTCTCTTTAAGGCCATGTTTCGAAATGAATCCTTGTTGGGTTTTTTTTCTCACTCACTTTTTTTGGGGGTGGGTGGGGTGGGTGGGTGGGTGGGTTGGGGGGCGTTTTTAAGGCACAGCCCAGGTAAGGAGCGTTTGCGTTACGTTACCGTCAAAGGCTACGTGCCGGTTGTTGATACGTTTTAGTCTTGTTTTTTTGATAAGGAACGTTCGCTCGCTCGCTCACACGTACACATACTCACTCACTCACTAACGCTCACACACACACTCATACACACTCACACCCACTCACTCACTCATGCACTCACTCACTAACGCACACACACTCATACACACGCATACACCCACTCACTCACTCACTCACTCACTCACTCACTCACTCACTCACTCACTCCTCTTTGATAAGGTCTGCCGTTTCTCTGGTGTTATTTTTTCGTACGCTTTGGCAAAGAGCATTTTGCAAAGGTTGGCTCTGACGCAAGGACCCCATTGACTACTGAGTTTCCATTTGGAACTTACAGAAAATGCACACGGTTTGCAGTACCCAGCAACGCTGAGTGAGTGTCAGGGGTGTTGGGACGACGGGTGGGGGGGTCGAGAGTGGGGGGTGTGGGGTGTGGGGCGAGAGGAGAAGCTCACTGAGCTCCGAATGGGGAACTAATTGAAAGAGTTGAAACTGATGTGCAATCGAATGTTGAGCTGATGCATGTACCCTCAGTGCAGTGTTGCAGTCGGGTTGTTGGTGGATAAACACCAATGTAGGCAATACTTTTTGTTGGCATCGTTCACAAAATAATTCATGATTCGTAATATTTATATTATAGCATTTAAGGCCACTATACCAAATGTAAGGATTGTTATCGTTGTTATTTTCTGCGTGTCGCGATTATAGCCTTGTATCTGAAGTGTATTTGTTTTAAAAAAAAGACTTGTGGCTTCTGGCAAAGGCAAAGTATTGAACAAATTTCATTCTCCCAAACCGGACAGACAGCTTCGTTCAGATTCAATGAAAGAAAGCCAATAGTTGTTTTACTCCCCCACCCCCACCGGTTTGTTTTGTGCAAGTTTATCGAACCTGAAGATTTTTCTGCAGGTGGAGCGTTCACCAACTAATTGGACTTCCTTTCCTGTTGAACGCAACAATAAGTTTGTGTCGTGAGACGACACTGAATATTTGGAATAGAAATTGTGTTTCGGCAACAGGATTAATGTTCTCGGTGGAGAAGTGTGTGTGTGTGTGTGTGTTTGCGCGTGCGGGGTGGGGGGGGTTTGGGGGTGAATTGCTCCAGTAGATGGTACAGTAATGCTATTAGGCAATTGCTGTTGAAACAATGTGACCTGCTGGCATCCCAGGTTCACATCGCTCCAAGCTTGTGAGACTTTATGTGGCCACTGCTGCCAATATTGACTGCGTTTAAATCCCTTCATGCCCTGGCACCTCCCTTACCTCTCATATCTGTTTACCCTCCGATCCCACAACCCGCTGCCTCCGCTCGACTGGCTCCGGCCTCCTGCACGTCTCCCGTGCCCTCCGTTCCACCGTGGGGGGGCCGCGCTTTCAGCCACTACGTCCCGAAACTCTGGCGTCAGGTTGGCGTCAAGGGGAGATTAACGGCAAATCTGAGAGCAAAGACGCGTTGAGCGGCCCGACGAGATCGGGTATCGCGGTCACCTGGGCAGTCTCACTACCAGAGCGCCGTGTTACCTAAGGGAACAGGGGAAACGACGCAACACACTTAAAAAAAAAGTAATAAAAAAAGTCTCCTTTTATTAAAGTTAGATCCTAAATGATTTAGTGTCTCGCAGGCAATGCAAAGCATTATAGTGGACGTATCTGCCTCGATCGATGTCATTGATTAACAGGTAGATGCTGATCCAGAGAAGCAATGGGATGTGTACATGCCACCCTAAAATCAGTCGGAACAGAGACCACTGTATAAACGTGGGAACCATTGAGCCTATTAAACCCGCTTCACTATTTTTATTAGGACACGGCAGATCTTTTAATCTCTTTTCCTACAGTTTCTCCGTATCCCTTCAGACCGTCACATCGCAAATATCGATCGTTCTCCCTCTTAAAATCCCAATCAATGCCACATCTATGGCCTTCTGATTCAATGGCACTCAACTAAAATGTAACGATTATTAGTGTATCCCATCTTCTCACAGCCCTGAGAGAACACCTAAGTGTACAACTATTTATTGGCGTGACTGGTTCCTTTACCGGCATTAAATGCGTCTGTTCCGCCTATGGATCACCTCAGAGCAGTTGTGCTTATTTTTTGTCCCAAAGGCTTTGAAACTCTTTTGTGATCTGCCGCACAAGACAGTTCTATCTCTGCATCCGATGCGTTGACTTGTTTTCTGCATGTAAACGGTGTTAAATCATTGGCGATAGTGCAGGATGCCTTCGACGCTCCTTCAAACCTCTCAGCTGAGTTCTGACCAGTTGTATAGCGCCCTTCACATGAGGTAGAGTCCCGGAGCGGTTGGCAGCGGGCGCGCTTTCAGCCACTACGCTTCGAAACTCCGTAACACAGTTCCCCTATCCCTCCGCCTTGCTCCTTCCTTCCCCATCTTCAGGTCCTGCCTGAAGACCTTCCTCTTTGACCGTGCCTAGGGTCAACCTATCCCCCACCCCCCCCCACCCACCCCGACTCGCCATTGTACTCCGCGACTGGCGAGCTCTCTGGGACGCTAGCCAGCGTGAGAGGCGCCGTGTCGATGCAAGCTGTTGTCATGTGGAAAATATATGGTGGAATCGTGGGTTCCATACTTGCGTTAGATTGCTCTCGCCAGTTCTTCCCTCTTCCCTTGCTTCCTCCCTCACAACCTTTTTCCAAGCAACCGATTCGAGTTAGATAAAATACGCTGTTGGTGTAATTCTCCTCTCCTACCTTACTTCCTGCGCACAAGGAGATGCCACAACTCCACTTGGTGTTTGTACGGGAAGGGGGTGGGGGGGCGTGGGGGAAACTAAACTTAGCTGAAATCGACTGTGTACTTGCTCCTGTTTTTGGCAGTTTCATCAACACCCCACCGTGTTTCTCACTTCCTTCCTTTGCGTGAGCTTCTCTTCGGGGTCTTGAATAAATTGTGAGTCGGGACCCAGGGATTTCAGTCGAAAATAGAACTGCTTAGTTTCCATGTGAAGTGTATAATTCATGAGCGGTCGTGAGTGCATCTGGTGCAGGCGGGCGAGGGGAAGAGCATCAGTCTCCCCCTCGCTGTCTCTATCCCATTTAGTGTTCACGTCTGGTCTTATTGGCCCAGCGATCCGAAACAGGGCAAAAATGATAGAAAAATTTACAACTTAGCTATCAGTTGTCGTCCAATTAGTTTCTAATTTTCTTGCCATTGGCACGCACGTCTTCTCCTGTTGACCTCCTCTGGCTGCCTGCCCTCTGCCACCCTCGCCCAAGTGGCCATTGTTCACGTGTGAGCCTTGGCAGTGAGTGTTGGCAGACCATTTGACTGTAGAGGAAGTCTGACCACCTCCTCCCCCCCCAACCCCCGTTGCCACACTATCGCTAGCGGATGCCGCAGAGGGATGTGGATCAGTACACCCGGCTGGTATTAACCTCCCTTACCCTGGGAAGGCTGGGGCTAATTAGCTCCCGATGATCGAGACCAGGAAATTCAGCGCAGACCAGGGTTCGAACCAGGGAGCTCCTGAACTAAAATCTGCATCTCTTTATCCACTATATTGCTGTTTGTGGGACGCTGCTGTACACGATTGGCTGTCACGTTTCGCCCCTAAAATATACAATCAATTCACTTTACAGTATGTTCTGTGAAGCGCTTTGAGACGTCTCAAAGACGTGATAAGGCGCTGTGTCAAATGCAAGGATTATTATTATTATTATATTATCAGGGATACCCCACACCCATCCTTCTTGAGTCAAGCTCAGTTCTAACAAATGAGTTTGACTCAAAATTTCTGGCTTTAGTTGGATTCCTCTTTGACGAATCCGGCTACAAAAGACCCCAAAATAGACTCTTAAATGTGTAGAATTAATTGAAGTGTTTAAAAAAGGGTGGACAGTGAGAAGTTGGGGTGTTAAGTAACATGCACAAAGAACACACTATTGGGATTAACTATGCACAGTATTTTGATTTTTTAGGTCATGGATAGATATATACTTAGATTTGGGATTAAATACATAAATAATAATGCTTGCATTGGATATAGAATCTTTTCACGCCATCGGAACATCTCAATGCACTTCATGTGATTTAATAATAATAATCATCACCATCCTTACATTTGGTGAAGTACCTTATCCTGTCGTCGAGGTGTCTCAAATCGCTTCGCAGGATTTTTTTTTACTGTGACATGTAGTAACTGTGTATTTGTAGGCAAACGCGACAGCCAATTTGCACGTACCAATGTGCGACAAATGAAATTAGAGACCAATTTTATTTGGGGGATTGTTGGCTGGAAGATCCTTCTCTTGAATCATGCCATGAGATCCTTAACGTCGACCTGAACAGGCAGAAGGGACCTCAGTTCAATCTCTCATCCAAAGGACAGTACCTCCGACAATGCAGCACTTACCCAATACTACATCGGGGGGATCATTTTGACTGTGAACTCAAAGCCCTGACATGGGGATTGAACCCACAACCTGCTGAGGAAATGGAAATGATGATGATGATAATAATAATAATAATAATAATAAAGCTTCCATCTGAGTCCTGGATCATACTCAAGATACAGTGATCTAATAAAGTGCTGGACAAACCAAATCATTTATTTATGTTTCTCCGGTGCTAAATGGCTTGTGGCTTCAAGGCTGTTGTGGGACATTGCCATGTGTGTATTGACTGCAGCGGTCACTACGCATGATGGTAAAATCCCGTGAACCACTTTGAGACATTGTGGCGACGTGATGAAGTGTTATTTCATGTTCGAGGATTATCATATATTGAAAACAAACCTCTTGGGTCGC